CTGACCTCCCTCCCGACCACACACAGGTCTTCTTCATGCACTCAGCACCCCTACCTATGTTATTTCTCCATTTGCTAACTCTCTGACCCTACCCTTAGCCCTCTCCCCACTACAACACAGTCAGAGCAGGAGCTTGGCTCTGCTCACTGTCACATCACCAGCACCTAATGTCTACCTCATAGTCAACACTCAATAAACACTACCCGAGTGGACAGATGAATGTCTCAGCCTGTCTGGAGAATCCTTGTATGTAGCTGGTTCTCAGGAAATATCTGATAATTAGGCTACAATAATACAAAAGAAATCTCAGCTCCCTATAAACTCCTCCCTTACTAGAGGAGGGGTCTTGCTATGGATGCTTACCCACTTCTCTTGGCCATACAGGATGCCGGAGTAAACACTACTCAGCCATAGGTAAGTGCCTGGGTAGACCCAAACCAGATAAACTGAGATCAGGGGTAAACATTCCTAACACAGCAGGGTTAGTTACACAACATGACTGGAAGATCTTGGGAAAAGAATCCCAAGCTAGAAATCTCTCTAATAAACCTCTTACACTATCTAAAAGTCAGCCATTGCAGCTCAGTAACTTCAGATGCATCCAAATACCCATCTCAGAGCCAGGCTGCACCTCAGGAAAGTGGCTGATGTGGATCCACATGGTCACTTAAGGTCAGCTCCACAGAGACAGACCGAGCCCTGGAGCCACGAGTTGAGGGGAAACAAACTAGCCAGTCCTGTGCCTGTGCCAGTGAGGGCAGCCAGGGAGTTCAGGGCACAGGGTCGTGGGGAGAATCAGCCCTGGCTCAGGCAATGCTGAAGCAAGTGGCAGCCTAGGGACAGCCACTTCAGCAGGCTCAAGGGTTGAGATGCACCTGATGCCAATGCAGGAGGCACCGAGCTGCTTTCCCAGAGATCTGTTCCTCACTCCAGCCAGTGCCTAGGAATACACAAAGCAGAAATCTAGCTAAGGGAGGACAGAAACACCAAAACCAAAAAAAATCTCCCCAGCCTAGAGGAAGTCTAGGGTGCAAGGCGGGATTATCAGGCAGATTGTTCACAAAGGACCATGGCAGACAGCCAGTCACACAGTCAGGGCCAACACAGGGAAACAGGAGTCCCCTGGCCCAGGAGCCTCTCCCACCATGACTTGAGCTAAGTCCCATCACTTGGGGAGGCTGGGGCAGCCCAGATCCAGGTTAGCTGGGGCACCAGAGTGAGACTGTCAGTGCAGACAGGCGCAGGCTACCTTTACCCACAAACAGCGCTGTCCTCATTACCTAGCATGACCCAGGAGCCCAGAGAGGATTCCTTGCTGATCTAATGTCTACTCTGTGACCTTGGCCACAAAGGGACACACTGCGAAGTGTTCCTGCCACGGTGCCATTGTGGATTAAGTCATTTATGGTCAAAACTCTTTAGAAAGGCAGAGTCCTTATAAGGTGAGAAAAACACAAAACCAGCTATCCATTAACATCTAGACTTTTTTTTTCTTTTAACAAAGATTAGGAGACCAGTTACCTAGGTAGATTCAAAGAGAATCCAAAGCTTTAGGGTGGTTGATTGTTTTAATGTTTTGGGATTTGCTGTGAGTGACATTTAGAAGACTAAAGAAAAAGACAATTCGATTCTTTACTAAAAAATTACATCCTACACAAAAATAAAAAGTACTTGACTAGGATTACCCAAACAAAGACTCCGAAGCAGCTCAGAATTTACAAGTAAAACACAACAACAAACAATTAGGGGAAAATCAAGAATCTGCAAGACCAGAATACGAAAACAAAATCATTCATTTTTGAAGAGGAATATACCTCATGGCTAAGGAGAAGGCCATTCCTTCCCCTTTGTCTTCAAGGCCGCCCAAGACAAGAACACCAAATCCACACAATATATTAACAATTACAATCAAAATAAGCTGTTGGTAGTAGAGGTTATGTACATACATACACAAATAAGCACTCCATTTTCCTACAGACCAGTTCCTCAAAACTCAAAGTTGCCTTTAGAAACATTTAAATTAAAGCTTACAACAATTACTACCACATTGGAGAAGCACTCGGGGTCCCAGGAAGTAGGCCTATGAGTTTGTTTGTTTATAGGGATATAAAATTGGAAGGCTTTTCAACTCTGATACTCTTTCAAGATTAAAAAAAGCAAAAACTAGGTTTCCAGTTAATTAAGTCCTAATTTAATTTTAGAATTAGAATACTGTCATCAAATTAACTGCTTTAAACACTTCAAAAAAATTTGAAGGTCTTAAAAAAGAGAAGGTTGTTAACTAACAACTCCTTTAAAATATGCATGTTTTGGGGCCAGCACTGAGGTACAGCAGGCTGAGACAAAGGCATCCCATTTGAGTGCAGGTTCCAGTTCTGGCTGCTCCACTTTTAATCCAGCTCCCTGCTAATGCACTTGGAAAAACAACAGAAGATGGCCCAAGGACTTGCGGCCCTCACACCCATGTGAGAGACTCAGATGGGCTTCCAGGCTCCTGGCATCAGTCTGGCCCAGCCCTGGTAGGTGCTATCATCTGAGAAATGAACCAGAGGATGGAAAATCTACCTTTTTGAAACTCTGCATTTCAAATAAATAAATAAACTTTTTTAAATGTGTATATTATTTCTTCCATATTTCCCATACACATAAATTATAGATAGATAGATAGATAGATAGATAAATCTATATACCACTAGGATCTATGGTATACTGGATTTTCAGTAACATGGATTTTTTTAAGTGCTTTTTATGAGATGAAAAACCACAAAGTAAAGAGAATAAATGATAAACTCCAAATTCAAGCTTATCAGTGAGTCATGGATTAGAAGGAGAGGACTGGGAAGGAGCATCCAGGGGTTCTCAAAGGCAATTGTTATTTTTCTAAACCTGAGTGATGTGCAAAAAGGTGCTCACTGCGCCAGTACCGGCATATATTACTCATATTTTGTTATTTAAAATAGTCATTGCAAAAATAACTATTTTAAAAATGAGTTTATGTAATAATCATTGCAGAAGGTATACAGACATGTAAATCAAACCGCTTCAGAATATTTTTTTCTGTAGCTGTGTTAATAAGAACTAAAACACTTAAGAATTATTGATTAACCTTATCTTTCATTCGACAGAATTTTAAAAATCTGGAAAACCTTATTTTTCTAAACTTCTACACAGATACAGTCAATTTCTTCCTATGCATACTGTCTCATCCTGTTTGCTTTTTAAAAACCTATTTTTCCCTTAGCTTCTTTGTAACTTTCACCATTTGGTAACCTTACTCTCCGAAGGAATCCAAGGAAATGGAAATGGGGTCACACCTCTGTGAATGCCATAGAGCAGTACTATTTACATCACTCAAAATGACCATGCAATTAAGTTAAATTGCTAGTGAAAACCTTTCAACTCGCCCTTCTTATTTCCAACTAGGTGCCGCCAGGGAACCTCTAAGACAAATACCAGGAAAACACCAATAATTTGTTTTTATAAAATTTAAGAAGCATAAAGACGGAAAGCTAAAGCTCCCATCTGCTAGTTCATACTCCCTAAATGCCTGCAAAAGCCAGGACCTCAATCCCAGTCTCCCACATGGGAGGCTGGAACCCAATTACTTGGGCCATCACTGCTGTCTCCCAGGGCGTGCTTTAGAAAGAAGCTGGAATCAGCAGCCAAAGCCAGAAATTGAGCCCAAGAACTGTGATGTGGGGCGCAAGCATCTTACTGGCTAGGATTGAAAAATGTTTTAGTTTCTCCCCAATTCTGTTTTATTTTTTTCAATAAAGTAGTAAAAATGTCTTAGATTTGTTGGCTTGGTTTTGTTCAGCCATGTAGAGCGCTTAATGACAGTCCAGGCTGAGAGTTCCAGTTGTCCTCCAAGGTGAGCTATTTTCAATTTCAAAAAAGTCTAAGCATAAATTTACCTGGAATTTATCCAAGCTAAGGATGAAAATATTTTGTGATTTCATCAGGTTTTCTTAACTGGTCATCACATGTCAGATACTCAGACACACATCATTAACAAAAATGGAATTCATTAGGAGTACTTCATACATGTGGTCTGAAAAATCATTTAAAATACAGGGTCCATGGAGAAAAAAAAAATAAATGGTCTTTTATTACTAGAATTTTTTAACTAGTTGTTCTGGCATTTTTAAAACAGCAACAACAAAGTCTGGGGACTTAGAAAAAAATATTTTAAAATTTTTTTTGCCACTTCAGTCCTCTGCCCCTCAGTCTCGGAAAAAGTATAAACCCTGGAAATGTTAGGAGGGAACAAGTGCTTCGTATAACATCTTCTACCTGCTATAAGATAGGCTAATAGCACCAGAATGGCTTCTTTTTTTCCACAGCTTCCAATTCTCCTTAAAATCAAAACGAAACCCTCCCCTAGATGACCATCCCTACAAAAGGAAATCCTTCAGGTGCCTCAACAAAGTCAAACTTAAAAGAACACTTTAAATTGACAGCCTTTAGAAACCAACTAAGCGCATCTTCACAATCGCGCCTTGGGCCTTGCAGGGCGAGGGGGGACAGGTGCGGAGCTTGCCTTCCTAGAGACCGCACCGCCTCCACCACTGTGACCTTTCCCAGCTGCCAGCTCTGGCGCCCAACAAACCAGTTATCAGTAGGCCAAAGCCCGCTTTCCCATCTGCACTTTCCAAATGGCTCTCGATGCCAAGGGCTGGGCTGTGACCTGGCTCTCTGATGAGAACATGCCTCCTGAGTGGCTTGCCAAGTCTCCCTGGAAGCGTTTCTCAGCGTACTCTCTGAGTGCCCTCCTCAACCTCTCAGGCATGGTTCCTTCTTCCTTCCTTCCCTGGACCTCCTCATCCTGTCCCCCCAACATCCTGTCCCATCCGTGTCCCTTCAGTCCAAACTCCTGACTGCCATCCCCCACCCCTTGCACGCATCATCGACCTCTGCCCAGCCTAAAACTCCAACTTCAGTCTAGAGGGCACAGTTCCAACCTTTCAGGAGCTGGCGAGAAGAGACCTGTGGAGGCCTACCTGCAGGCAGCTCTGTTGCAGCTTCTTCCCTTGCCTTCTGCAGCTTCTCTCTCACCCAGGGGAACTCCTTCAGGGAATCCAGGAATGCATCAAAAGCTTTGGGACCCCTGGACGGCAGGATATCCAGCAGCAGCATTGTCTTCCGCAGGCCCGTGGCCTGAGCCTGGATTTCTTGAACGTGGTTTTCTGTCAAGATGCCTTCCTGGTACAGGTACTGAAGAACCAGTCCCTCCACCAGAACCTCTGCACCCAGCTCCAGGCGATGTGAGCGGAGCACCTGTTTGTCTCTGGCCTCCATTGCTCCCTGAGAAGACACAAAATCCTGGCTCAAATCACAGAAATGCCTAAGCGCCCCTCAAGATAATGTCAATGCACCAGATACATCGCGGGCCCTAGCACGGGGCCAGGCTATGGTATTTCACACACGATTGGTAAGCCCAGCTAAGTTCATTTCCAAGTTTCCAAATGACACTAAAAATGAATTTTTATTTTATTTTATGTATTTATTTATTTATTTATTTTGCTTTTCACACAGTGTGGTCAAAGTTCAATTCCTTGTTCAATAAGGATGTGGACAGCAGTGGGTCTGACACTTTGCTTAAGAAGCAATTTTTATCTGAGGATTATAGAGGAACATTCCGTTTTAACGCCCTGGAGTAGAAACATGGTTTTATTTCCACATGGACTTCATCGGAGATACCAGCCACCACTGCTAGAGAAACTAACAGACCTCAGCAATGGCAGTGGGGGGCCAGAATGCATTGAAGGATTTTTTCCAAGAGAAAAACCCTCCACACCATCACCACCTTCAAGAAAAGTACTTCTAAACTGTTTGTGCGCAGTCGACCACACGACCACACTACATACACGCAGAGCGTAATCCTTCTAAGAATTCAGGACCACTGTCACAGCTCTGCGGTGGGTATGGGACATCGGCATGGGGCATTTAATGGTTTCTTTCTTTTTTTTTTTTTTTTCTTTCTTAAAACAAAAAGCCCACACCGCCGCCCAGTAAGCTGTGGGACTGCTGCAAGCACAGGAGGGTTAAGGGGCACGGAGGGGATTCAGACGCGCGACACCCGGCTCCCCTCGCCGCCCTCTGCGAGGGCTGGGCCGTGGCAGGTGGAGGAGGGGGTGTCCACGTTTGGCTGAGAACATCCCTTCGGAACTTCGCTTTAATTCCCTGCCTTGGCGGCTGAATCCCTTGACGGATTACAAACAGGAAGAACCGCCAGAGATTTTCAAAGCAACTTCACCCGCCAAACAGGGAGTGCTGGGAACTCTCGTCAGAGCCCCCTGAGGGGACAGCGGACCCCCAGCACCGCCGCCCCTACCCCAACCCTGGCCCGGTTCTGAAGCCCGGTAACCAAGCTAGCGGGGGGCGAGAGGGCCACACAGGGCTCGGGTCAGAACGCCACAGCGCGGGGCTTTCGAGAAAAGATGGATTCCTCTTACTTACGTCTGCAACCACGTTTCTAAAAAAAAAAAAAACTACAACCGGAATCCAGACTGTCAGGGAACCTCTACCATAAGCACCATCTTTGTTGAAGGCGGAAGCCCGAAACAGGAAGTGACGTCGCCATCTTTGTTGAGGGCAAACACAGGAAGTGGAAGTACTGTCGCCATTTTTATAGGCGGTCCAGGGGTCAGGTTGACGCTTTGTCCGCCATGTTTGCTGTGGGAAAACAATAAAACCGCCTGAAGGTGAAAAATTGTGGTATTACTTGGAGGGCTACCTAAGCGAAGGAGTAAAGATATTGTTGCTTTTTGATAGAGTAACTCCACCACGCCCTGCACACAACTGATATACTAGACAGGCAGTTCAAAAGTTACCCTAGAGCAAAGCCTTTTCTGACCACTGTTATTTAAAATGGCAGTGCACCTGTGTTCCTCTCTTGCGCTCCCATTCCGTTTACCTGTTTATTTTTATCTAGAGCATGTTACATCCACTCATAAGCTAAAACAAAATGTTACAAAAACTAGTGACGGTCACACATGAATTTTATTGAAAATGAGAAGCAAATGAAAGGCAGGTAACCGAGCAGGACCGTCCACCCATAGGAACCCACACTCCTTACCAGAGGGCAGCCCCCAACAGTGGGTTACATAGCTTTTTATAGTATTCTGTCCACTAGGGCTCACAATTTCAACCGGACCCCTGGTATGCAGTGAACAATAAAGAGGAAAACCAGAATATGGTTGTAAGGTAACAGTTAACAACAACAAACCCAATAACAGATCCAAGATATGGTTGTAAAATAACAGTGAAGGACACATTTTGGCCAACCTAGTTCCTGGGAATTTGGGCCCACATAGTTTCACAAGATCCACCCTTAGCCGTTACCAAACAAAGCTAATATGTACAGAAGCAAGAGGTCTGCAATTAGCTTTTAGCCATACTCAATCCATTTTATTCTGATTCTTCAAGCACATCACTGTTTTACCAAAACCTTTGCTTACTCATTTGTTTACCAGCTGTTTCCACCTGAGTGCAGGATCATCTCTACGTCCACAGTATTCCTGCCTGCAGAGTTTACAAGTCAGTGCCCCTGGGCTTCCAGGCTACTCCAGAGAGAAAGGGGTTTGTCATGGGGCATTGGGGACATTTGGAATCACGGGGTAAGCTGTTAAAAGGGCTGATCACCAAAGGGTGACCCCTACACAACACTGCCAAACTGACTTCTGGCCACACTCACCAATAGAGTCTTGAAATCACCAACTAGAGGGAGGGACATCAGATGAAGCTGATTCTACTGTGTCTACCACATCTTTACTTTGGGAAGCAAGACCAAATACCTGACCCAATACAGAGATGGAAGAGTAGCAAATTGAGTCTTTCCTCAAATTCTTTTGTGAAACAAGGCATATGGTCAATAAAGTATTCATTGATTCATTTTTACATCAACCGGAGAATGCAAGTATGTGCAGAAAGTCATGCACCTGCTCAAAATGGATTGGCAGTAACAGAAAAAAAATCTTTCAAATATAATTTCTCCAAAGGAATTCACAACCAGCACCTCTGAAGGAAGATGAATATATTCTTATAAGAAAATCAGTGGAGGGGAATTCTGAACCTTCCTTCTGAAAACCTGATAATTATGTCCAGTTTACAGCGTTACTATGCTAGTATATAATTTTACTATACCAGTAAAGTGTTTTTATATATGCGCCTAATATTATTGTTATTATTTTACATGTGTAGAGACTGTGGAATCAGAATGGCCAATTGTCTTAGCCAAAGTCTGAGTTAATACAAAGCAAAACCTGAATTCTAATCAAGATTCTGATTTCATGCTCTTTCCAGTATATAACACAGTCCCATAAAGATTCTGTTGTTCTGGTGACAGCCAAAATATTATTGGTAAATAGTCCTGTTGCCACTTCCCACTCCTGATAGTCGAGTTTCAGGTACTCTGTACTCTTGTCCACTTCCTCTTTTGCTCTACGGTTTGGTTTGGATACAGTTGGTTCCCCCTGGGGTTTCACATATTGTAGGCTTGGACCACAGTATGGTGATGTGAGAGCTGCTGGGGCCTTTAAGAAGAGGCTACTGCAGTGCTGGCATCCCATATGGGTGCCAGTTCAAGTCCTGGCTGCTCCACTTCTGATCCAGCTCTCTGCTGTGGCCTGGGAAAGCAGTAGAAGATGACCCAAGTCCTTGGGCCCCTGCACCCATGTGGGAGGTCCGGAGGAAGTTCCTGGCTCCTGGCTTCAGACCCACGCAGCTCTGGCTGTTGCAGCCAATTGGGGAGTGAACCAGCAGATGGAAGACCTCTCTCTCTATCTGCCTCTCCTTCTCTTTCTGTGTAACTCTGACTTTCAAATAAATAAATCTTTAAAAAACAAAAAAGATGAGGCTAGTGGGAGGTCTTTGGGTGATTGGGGGGCCTTGCTGTCAAAGGATGATGATAGTTTGAGGATCCTATTTGTTCTTTAAAGAGAAGTTTGTTATAAAACCACCCAACTCTTTAACTTCCTGTTTTTGAAATGTGATTTCTTTCTCCCACACACGCCCTTGCCCATGTGATGTCATCTACCATGAAGCATCACCAGACCTGTGCTGATACTGATGCCAATGTCATGCCTTTGAATCTCCAGAACTGTGAGCTAAATAAACCTTTTTTCTTTAGGTATTTTGTTATAGTAACAAAAAAAGGACAAATGCACTCTAAAATTGGTGTTCTTTCCTTTTCCCTGCTTGGACAAGTAGCAGCAGCATTCTCTGTCTTCATCCAGGTGAAGTGTAGCCCTCAGGCAACACTGCCAATAGCGGAGGATTACTTACTTTTTGGCAAGGAAAACAAAATATATTTTTTTCCAACTTTAAAGCTTTGACAATCTTTAAACAGAAAAGTTGAAACAAATAGCACAGTTAACACCCGTTGAATACACATCTTGAGCACTTACCCTATCTGGAAAGACTTTAGATCTGGGAACTCAAGGGTGAGCCTTGATTATGACGTCCAGGAACAGGTGGAGAACCAAGAGCAAGACCCTTGAGGGTCACAGAAGTGAAGCAAAGAGGGCAAGAACAGCACACAAAAAGTGAGCTTATCGGCAGGCATCCTTATGGTAAATAACCTGAGTGGCTGGCCTTTAAGGTTCTGACTTATCCATAGACAAAGACCACCACCATTAAATTCCTCTTCCTGTGGCAAAGTTAGATGTGTCCATACTGCCTACTAAGTGACCAGGGTGACTCTCAGACTGTCTAGCTACCTGTCATTAACCAGTGGAAGAAGTGGCCACCACCCCACCTAAACACACAGTGATACTTTGGAGCAGTATATCAAAGTATGGTTTGGGGGCTGGTATATACATATGATATACACACAGTATATCATATATAAACACACAGTATATTGGAGCGGTATATCAAAGTGTGGTTTGGGGGCTGGTGCTGTGCTGCAGTGGGTTAAGCTGCTGTCTACAGCACTAGCATCCCATATGGGCACCAATTCGAGTACCAGCTGCTCTACTTCCGGTTCAACTCCCTGCTAACACACCTGGGAAAGCAGCGGAGGATGGTCTAAGTGCTCGGTCCCCTGCACACATGTGTGTAGCTCCTGGCTTCAGCCTGGCCCAGTCCCAGCCATTGCAGCCATTTAGGGAGTGAACCAACAAAAGATTCTCTCTCTGTCTGTCTCTCTCTCTGTAACTCTGTACTCTGCCTTTCAAATAAATAAAATAAATCTTAAAAAAAAAAAAAAAAAAAGTCCGGGGCCAGCGCTGTGACGTAGTGGGTAAAGTTGCCACCTGCAGTGCCAGTATCCTATATGGGTACTGGTTCAAGTCCTGGCTGCTCCATTTCTGATCCAGCTCTCTGCTATGGCCTGGGAAAGCAGTGGAAGATGACCCAAGCCCTTAGGCCCCTGCACCTGTGTGGGAGACCCAGAAGAAGCTCCTGGCTCCTGGCTTCGGATCAGCTCAGCACTGGCCATTTTGGCCATTTGGGGAGTAAACCAGCAGATGGAAGACACCTCTCTCTCTCTCTCTCTCTCTCTCTCTCTCTCTCTCTACTTCTCTGTAACTCTTTCAAGTAAAATAAATTAAAATCTTAAAAAAAAAAGTCCAGCTTGGCTTCTATAAAGATCTAAGACCAGAGGTTCTCTGAAGAACCCAGCACAGAGGAGGATCACCACCACAGGTGGTCACGCCTCCACGCTTGCCAGTTCCTCTGTGTAGGCTGGAATTGTGCCTTAAGAGGATTAAGCACCTGTTCCCAGTGGTAACAAATCCATTTCAGGAAGTACAGATATGTTCCTTTTTCTCTGTCCCCTGGTATGTTTACTTGTGTCAAGATATACTCATTGTGAGTTTGCAAAAGAAAGAGTCAAAAAGAACAAAGGTACTATTTTTCTGTCTCATTTTGTCTTTGGTTTTGCAGCCCTCAAAAAAAAAAATCAAAGCACTTGGATATTTTTGGTTCTTTCTTCCTGTTTCATAGATGTGGAAATTCAGCCATGGAGAAAAACAGGTTCTTTTCAAGCGCACGTAAGACACTGACAAAAATAGATCATGAATCAGGTCACAAAGAAATTTCAATAAATCCCCAAACATCAGTAGGATATGAACTACGTGTTCTGCCATCATACAGTAAAACTCAAAACTTCTGTAAGTCCCATAACTTTGGAAACTAAATAAGACAACGCTTAAAGTCTTAAGTTAAAAAGAAACCACAGTTAACAGAACGTAGAAAGAAAACTTTACAGTAGAGACCTTAACCATGTGATATCATGTGCTCTGGGATGACAAGACAAGAACAACATTTTTCCTGTGAGAGTCTCTATAATTTATTTTTAAATAATTTTTTTAGTTTTTATTTTTTTTTTTATTTTTTGACAGGCAGAGTAGACAGTGAGAGAGAGAGACAGAGAGAAAGGTCTTCCTTTTGCTGTTGGTTCACCCTCCAATGGCTGCCGCGGCCGGCACACCGTGCTGATCCGATGGCAGGAGTCAGATACTTATCCTGGTCTCCCTTGGGGTGCAGGGCCCAAGCACTTGGGCCATCCTCCACTGCACTTCCTGGCCACAGCAGAGAGCTGGTCTGAAAGAGGGGCAACCGGGACAGAATCTGGGGACTAGAACCCGGTGTGCCGGCGCCGCAAGGCGAAGTATTAGCCTAGTGAGCCGCGGCGCTGGCCTAGAATTTATTTTTAAAAATTGTTTTAATAA